GTTCATAGATATTGATAATTATAATAAAAGTTAAATCAAAATTAAATTAATATTAATGCAAAAAGAAAATCAATTCAACACTAAGAATGATAATAATATTGAATATTTGTTCTTTAGTTTTACATTGGTTTAGACAATTAAAATACATAATCTAATTTTTATTTTCCTTAAATATTTAGTAATCCAACTAATACTTATTAAACTTATTTTAGCATGATTTAGTATTTTTAAATTATGATTATTTCATTATGACTTTACAATATTTATTTTATATGATGATTTCATTATTATTTTTATTGAATATTTTTGTGTCATAAATACTCATCTCATATTTTGTGTTTTTTTTTTAAAAAAAAACTTAGATAATTATATTTTGGTTGGACTAAAGAATATTTGGAGCACAAGTTAATAATATGTTTATATGCAAACTTTACCGAAAAAATTCAGAGTTTATTAGTTTGGTTTGATTTATAAATTTAAAAATTCGAAATAATGGATTAACCCGAACCAAGCTGAGGTTGAAAAATCCAAAAAATTCAAATTTTATTAGTTTGGTTTGATTTATAAATTTTAAATTTTTATACGAATAATTTGATTTGATATTTGAAAAACTCAAATCAACCCAATTATGTACACCCCTACTACATAGTGTCGTTTTCATTTTAAGCAAAGATTAGAAAGGAAAAGCTAGAAGTCATATAAGTTAGGAGTGAAAATAACCAAAATGTTCCTAAATGTATGACTACATTTAATTTAATATTTTCTTTAATAAATTTGTTAAGATTAAGACAAAATACCAAAATGAACACATTTATAATTAAGGATCATTTCAATTAAGTAAAATATATTAAGAATCAAAATTTATTATACATTGAAGATAATTTCAACAAATAAAATATATTAAGAACCAAAATAATTCATTGCACGTACATTAAGAATTATTTTGATCATTTTTTCTAATTTGGGACATTCAACTTTTGGCTTTGAGTTAATAATTTTAAAAAACTCTTAAACTTACATAATTTATTATTTGCATATCTAAACAAAAGAAAAAAAGGCTTAATTACCTCTTCGAACATTGATTTTTGGAACTACTTACCCCTAAATTATAACAAATCTTAATTATCCCCTTAAGTATGGAATTTTGAAACTATTCACCCCTAAATTATAACAAATCTTAATTATCCCGTTAAGTATGGAATTTTGAAACTATCTACCCCTAAATTATAACAAATCTTAATTATCCCCTTAAGAGTGGAATTTTGAAACTATTTACCCTACATTATAACAAATATTAATTATCTCCTTAGG